TTGGGAGGGGGGGTCAGGTGGGCTATGCTGTGCTCACGTTGTGTGGTCAGGAGCGGGACGAAGCGGAGGACGACCTTTCTGACGCGGAGAAGAAGAAGGTGCTGCGGGGTCATAAGATGTTGTAGGTGCGGGTTAGAGGTCATGTGACTTCATCTGAAAGCTGACTGCCTCTTCCCTCTGCAGGAGGAACTGCAGATTGAGAATGGGCGCCTGAAGGAGGCCCTCGCCTGGCAGAAGGCTAGACCCTCTTTTGCTGCCTGTCGCGCGCTGTTGAAGTTGTGGCCTCTTGCCATTCCGAGACGAAGCAAGATGCGTCCGACAACAAGCTCAAGGCAAATCTGCAGGCTGTCAAGGTGCAGCTGCAAGTTTTGGCTTCCAATATAGAGGGGGGGGGGTGCACTTGGGGAATGCTGCTTGTGGTAGGCGTCCATCGGCAACCTCCAGGAGCAGTGCGCTGCGATCTCCTGCTCCTCTGACCAGGACACAGGTAGTAGTGAGGTCTTTCGCTGTCTCTCACTCCTTGTCGCAGAAGATTGCTTGAGGAGTTTGCTGAGTGATGATGAGATACGATGAAAGAGGCTGAACGCAGCCCGCATGCGGACAGGTGCAGACGCAGCAGCCGGCGTGGAAGACTCTGGTATAGCTATGCGTAGCTGAAGGCACCTTAAAGAAGGGACATGAAGGGACACAGGCTGGTGATGGCTGGAGCATGCACACGCATGGAAGTCTTTCTTGCCCCTGGAGATCTCTAGAGCGCTGGGAACATGTAGGCAGACTTAGGCATTCTTAGGCCAGCAAGAGCTGTGGAGCTGCGAGCGCCCAGATCTCCAGATGTGTCACGGCATGGCAGAGCATGGCCGCTCACGGCACGAAAAGTGAAGCGCTTGACTGCGTTACATTGCTTCCCAAGTGCCCTTGCCTGTGGGATCCTGTGATGTCTGCATGGCTGTGCTGCCACTCCAGGTCTCGATGCTGCATGAGGATCCGCCGAAGCCGGAGATGCAGGCGCCCCCGCGTTGTCTTCGACCTATTCTCA